AGATTTGTTCAAATAGTTTCAGAATTAATACGTTCCAATGAACTGTATAACTATTGCCGATGAACTTATTAGAAATACTTAAGAAACACAACAATATTCCTCGAAAGTGGTTGTATAAGTAAAGGCGATATCATTATTTCAAATATTGTTGTCCAAGAATCTGAAGTGTTTCCGTATGAACCCATTCTAGAAGCAGGTAAATCAGAACAAATTCTTAAAATGTTTCTGAAGAATTGATATAAAAATCATCAAATAAATTTTATTCATTATTGGAAAATAATTATATTAAAGGAAGAAAATTTATTATAAAGATATTGAATTTTGTATGAAATTTATATGAAAAGGTTATTCGATAGAAATTATTTGGTTTATTCGTTATTCGAAATTTGGCATTTTTCATTTATTCGAGCGATTAATCGACAAAAATTCATCGATTAACCGATCGACGATTAACTGTTTGAATACCCTAGTATATGCTCTCCACATGAGATCGTCTACATAGTAGAGTAGTTCTTTGAATTTCTACCATATGTACATATTTGGAATTTCTAATATACACCGAAAGGGAGTTTTCCTCAAAAGCGGATTTTTAATTGTGTTCGGCTGTCACACAGTGTTATTATTTGAAAAACATTATTAATTCAGTGAAAATCTTCCGATTCGATATTCGTAAAATCAAGAATTACAAATACAAAATGAAAATACCTACAACATATTTGAAATTATTAAAACAGTTACATCTCTGATATTAAATGTATGAATCAGGCATGGAAATTAAAAAAAAATAAATAATACTAACCTTTACCAAAAAGAGTATTTTTTCCATTTTTGTTCAAATTATGTGAGGACTAGTTTATAGTTTATTATTTTCTAAGAAATAATCTATTAAATATTCTGTGGACTATTTCACCGAATAACTACAGACTATGGTCTGGTCTAATAGATCTATCTATTGATTATTTTGATGGCTAACCTATTGACCGGTATAAGGATTAGTCTATTAAATGTTCTATGGACTTTTCTACATACTAACAAGTAAGAAAATATAGTCGGTTGTGGCCAACCATATGATACCATACACCAGTTATGAATGAAAATATGATTTATTTTTCATAATAAAGCATTTATGTTAAATTTTACGTTGGGTCCGATATATTTAAGCAATTTATTGACAAAAAACTAATTTTCTGAAAGAATCTTTATATGGGAACTAGGGGCAAATACGGACCGATCCCGATAAAATTTGGTGGATAAATTTATGTTTACATAATTTTTATTTGTGCTGAATTTGACCGCAATATTAGTCTTTATAAGTGAATTGTAGACATTCAAAGGGACTTTGTGTGGGTGCTATTATCAAATGAAGCCCGAAAATTACGATTCAAATTCTACAATACTGAACTGAGACTCAAAAATGTCTATTATTATTCATTTTGTAACCGACAAAATAAAAAGCCAAGTTTTTATAAAACTTAGTTCAAGGTCAGATGAGAAACATTTTAACCCCTTCTTATAGATATATCAAATAGTAAAATGTCATAAAACATTCAATGCTGTTTTTTAATTTTGCCGGTTTTGCAGTAAATGAGCGACATTGTCTAGTCAATTGATTAATCTGTGTATTAATATTAATAATATTGACTATTGGTAGCTTTATGGACTATTGTTATGACCAGTTTAGTAAATATTTAGCAAAAATTTATAATATATATAAAGTAATTAATATGTCGTGCGTACAAATTACAATAGTACAGAATTTTCCATGCCTGCTATGAATATGTTTATTTAAATAATATACACACTAATATACAGATTTGGAAAGTTCTTGGAGAGGAACAAAAAAAAAATAATAAAGAACTCACACACATTATACATACTAGTATTATACAATTTAAAAAATATATTGTATGTCTATACGTAAACGTTGTACATACTAACAAATAACTAAAGTACATACAAAGTTTTATCTAACAAAATAAAAAATAAATGAAATTGTTTACTTACAGAAATTTCTTAAATATTTTGTAGAATGACACTAAATAGTAAACTATTGTTGAAATTAGCAACATTTTTTAAATTTAATTTTATTCACTTTTTGCTTATTTTATTTCTGTGTTAAATAAATAATAATATAGTTTATTAAAACTTTCTTTGACTTTTTTGTTTAAATTGACTTTTGTACTTTTGTAAATGATTCCGTTGTTTTTGTATTTAGTGTCAAATAAATAAAACAACTTTATGGAATAGAAGACAGACACTGGTGGTATTTGTTGTATGTATGTACTATATTTTATTTATATTTTCTTTTTTATTTATTGTTGTCTGAAAATATTTTATTTGTATCTTACTTAATTTCCAAAATATTTATTGTAGGAGAGCATTCATCACGTTTCACCTAAAATAAAGAACTAAAAGCACAGATGAAGAAAACACACAAAAAAAACTTGTTTATTGGATCCACTATTGGAACTTTCAACTTGCGTTTGGATACCGTAAAAAATGTAAACAAACTATCAGATATGGGTACATAAGTATGTATGTACATAGTTTATAATAAATAGTACTTTTGAATTTTATAACACTATTTTATTAATTTATAATTTATACTTGTGATTTCTAAAAGATTTTAATTATGTATCACCTTAAAATACTTAATTACAGTTTTTATTATATAAAATTAAATTTTTATTTTTATTAAAAAAATAATTTAAAAATGACTTGCATTTACATATTACAAATGATGTACCAATTGGTGTCTTTTTATTGGTACATTTACTTTCCATCCCTGTTATGGGTATTTTACATTTCTCTCAGCTGATTGTATAAAATAGTTCATTTGATAAGGCAGTTCATTAAAACAAGTAAGGTAAAACAGTTTTCTACACTTTTTTAAATTTATTTATGTGACTGTTTAAATATTTCTTACTAGTTTAATGCCCCTATTATGGTTTACAACTCAACTCTTCTTTAGTTGAAATTTTGGTCTTTGGTATTATCGATAACAACTTAAAATTTAAAGTTGAAATTTATTACAACTTTTTTGAAAAAAATTACAACTTATCAAAAGCAGTTGTAACAAATTACAACTCAATTGTTTAGAATAAATTTTTAAAATAAAACAAAGTAAAGTTTTTTTTTTAAACATTTTTTTTAAATTTCATTAATCACTGATTTCAAGCGAATTTACAATAAAAAGATGTTCAATACATTTGTCATTTACGAAAAACAGAAATTCATAAACTTTTCACTTAATTTTATGACAAAAAAGCACTTTTTAGGTTGGCAACATCAACACAATTACAACTGAAATTGGTTGTAATTCATAATACCAAATATAAGTTGAGTTGTTCTAAAGTTGAGTTGTTTCAATTTCAACTCAACTGAGTTGAGTTGTAAACCATAATAGGGGCATAAATTAAGATGATATTTTAGTTAAACAATATTTAAACAATTGGAGCCACGCGACTTTTTTTTAATTGAGAAACTATGTATTAAAATTATTATACATAAAATTAATAGAAACTATTCCGCACATGTGAGAAAACAATATTCTCAGGAGGACTAGGACTGGTTCAAAACTAATCGAAATGTATGAAAAATCATGCCCCATTTAACGTTGCGATGTCCTAGGTGAGGATGTTTAAAGATATTAAACTATTTTTTATTTAAGGTCAACTTGCATTTTCAAATTTAAAAATTATTAATTTTAAAAATAATTTTCAGAAAATTTGAAATTTTTACACTTAAAAGCTTGCCATGAGGAAATTGCGGGACTTAACCCAAGCAGTCTACTAGGTTTTATCAAGGGAATCAGACTTTCTTTTATAGGGTACTAGTTCGATGAGACCCTTTGGAAGTCGACCTGTTTCTAGTCCTCGCTTTTTCTCTCTCTTTTTGGTTTTCTAACATTTTGTTGCTCTATTTTTGGATTGCCATTCCTAAGAAGGGAATTACAATATGGTCTCCGAGTGGAGTTGGACCTTTTTATTGTGCATAACCCTTCTTAACCTTACCTAAAAGCTTGTCATCGATTTTTTTAAATTAACGTAATTTGTTTTTTCTCAATATTATTCGACACAGCCAAATATATCACTTGTTTTATGATATAAACATTAAAAAATTACAACGTAGATAACGTTCCCCATTTCAAAAGGTCCAGCAAAATTTCCCTTTTGCTATATATCGTCATATGAAATCCAAAAAGCCCTAAGTCACATTGAACAAATTTTTCAGGAGAAGCAAAAAACCGTCTAAAATGATAGATAAACCAAAAATGTTCAACATCTTCTCAAGTTAAGCTTATTTCTTATTGACAAATTATTATTTGAAGAAAAATTTGCGGTTTTTGTTTTACTTACGGAGATATGAAACTTACGCCCTTGAGAATTTGTTTTTTCTGAAACCGAAAAGGGCCTAAGTTACGTTAAAAAATAGTAAGTTTTAACATTTTCAAATAAATTCAAATCGGGTTTTGTTGGTCAAATAGGCCGAAACATAGAAGGCGTAAGGCTTCTTTGTTTTCATAAAGATTTTAGGAAATTGGAATTTTTCTTAGATAAAATTCTAAAACTGATAAAATAATCTCTAAATTACAAGGATTCGCTAAAAGTGCCATTTTTGTTTCATTTGATACCAACTTATAAAATTTCACAGTTTCAAAGTTAAAAATTCAAAAGAATTTTAAAATTTTCATGAATTTTAAGGTAATTTTAGAACATAACCTTTTAGAATTTCTTTGATAGGGACGTTGATTTTAATAGTAGGAGTGTAAAATTTAGCAGGAACATGTATTTTGATACGGTGCATCATAATCAATAAAAAAAGTCGATTTTGATTTTTTTGTAACTTAGGGCTTCTTGGATTTCATATGACGATATGCTAAGGTCAATCGCTAAATCAGCGTTAAATGTAAGAAAAGATTGATGCTTTTAAGTTTTAAATTGTTTTATTAAAAAATCAAATTGTTACTTATTAAAAAAATATATATAGCACAAGATTCAAACATTTTAGGGAGATTTTAATAAAATACACAGGCGATTTAAACGTTATTTAATTAACAATGAATTAAATTTATATTTTCATATTCATACAAGAAATAACTTTTTTTATACTTTAACAATAAGTATTATAAATAAATAATATCCTGAGTTTAATTATTTATTTAAAGCAACAACAGAATAGAAAACAGTTTGGTGTTGATTGTAGTTTTTTTTTTCATTTGATAAAAAATACTTTTAAATACAAAAATTAATAATTGTAAGTAAAACCAAGCAGAATATTATAAAATATTTTTAAATAAATTATACATAATCATGTATGTAGATAGTATATGTACATATGTATGTTACATAGACATATTTTTCAAATAAAATAATAGTAATAATAAAATAATAAAAATAATAAATGTTTATGGTTTTAAAATGTCTACAGCATTCCGGGACGATCACTTTCAATATTAGCGGATTTTTCAAAGAACATGGCATCCTGTAATTTTATAAAAAAAAAAAATAATTAATTATTTATAGAAAATAAACAAAATATGGAAAGTAATTAATATACTGGGATACTGGCGGTCAATCTATTCTTACAACTTATATTAGCAATACTCAAAAAAAAATTAGTGGAATGAATAACTTTTGATTAATTTAAATACTCACTATAAGTGAACTATTTTATGTTTAATTTTTCTTTGTTGTAAAAATACTTTGTTCATTCGCTGTATTAATTTTAAATAATATTAAGAAATTAAAAAATGTTAATAATTTATTTTCTATATAATGACATATTTTTTCCAAAAAGATTTCTAAATGAAACGATCTTTGATTGATGTAACATAATTTGTGAATTTGTATAGAAAATTTAACATACATTTAACAGTAATTATATTACTGATTAATTATGAGGTCCATTATATCACATTGTAGGAACCATGTGATATAATTGAAATATGCTTCGCCTTTCGGCCAAGAAAGGCGTATGTGTAAAATTTCGTCAATTCAACTTGACAATTGCGACCTGTACCTTACACAAGGTCTTCATGAACAGCCAGCCAAACGGACAGACAGACATACCCTCCCTATTATATTGTTATATGATATAAAAATATTGCATAGTTTTTTTGTGTTATATAAAATATTTATCATTTATCGAAATGATAAATAAATAAATAAATAAATAAATAAGAAATTAGAAAATCTAGTAGATATTTTACTTACAATAAGGAATGTTGCACCTAAAAGCACAGCTTTCATACGAACATCCAAATCCAAGGGGAAAGTTATACCAAAGAAATCGGCATCAGTAAATATTTCACGTGCCAATCCAGACCATTGTTTGGAAATTTTGCCAATGTTTTCACCAGTCAAAGAAAGAATCTAAATCGAGAAAAATATGTTAAACAATAACATAACATAACATTGAACAAAACAAAAATTTCTTACATTAAACTCAACATCACCACACATAGAAAATGTACAGAATGGACCCTCAATACGTAAAACAGTATCACCAATATGATTTTTAATTCTAAATGCTGGTGCACAGAGACTCCATTCCTGTTCGATGGTACCGACAACATTGCCAGGAGGTGCCGAGACTTCCATTGATTGTAAACAGCATGGAAACAAACAACTGGAGCAGGCCAATGGTCGATGTACGTGTATAACTTCATTACGGAAATTATCAAAAATTTTCATATCGAATGGACGTGCTGGACCACACATGTTTCGGGTACAGCAATCATTATCTTCGACGGCATAGTAGACCTTTTGACCGAGAGCATTTTTAATGGAAAATTTATTATTGGTTTCGAAACCGGTAAAAGCCTCTAATAATTCGACTTTTTGCTTAACTAACAGTTGATCTATACTAGTAAGGTATTCCAAACCGCGCGGACAATTCGGAATGCCGGGCGGTATACTCATCCAGTCGCCTGCAAGAAGAAAAATTAACAATAAATTTAGTTTTAGTTTAGTTTAGTTTCTTGTTAATATCATTGAAAAAGTGACATTTTTTGCGTGCATATAAAAAGAGCAATTTAAGAAAACTAATTTGTGTAGGTGATATTAGAATACATACATCTCAATTTGTATGTTCATTTATATACACAATGTCAAATATTTGTCCACTTAATTAAGATTTTGTTTAGTAAACCTTAACGTGTTGTTGTGGAAATTACTATGAACATTAGTCTTGTCCCTGAAAATATGTTTTATTCTGAATGGTCTAAAGTTATCCAGTTCAATTTCGGTGTGAGAGCAATTTTTTGTTGTAAACCCTTTATCGGGGGAATTAGCCGTTTCTTCGATTTGAAAATATAGAGAGCATTCTAATTGACGATCAGAATTTTCTTCTTACTTTCAGCAATCAGGTTTTTTGCCGCGAACCTCAGTCTAGTCTCAGACCTTTTTTCTTAATTATTCTTTATTATTGAATTTTCTCTTACTCTAAAGGGAATGACAATGGACCTCAGTGGCATCCGGATGGATTTGTACCTCTCTGATGCATAACCTTTCGTAACCAAACTTAACCAAGGATGCCCTAGTTGCCAAAACTATTAAATTAGTATTACTTGAAAAAAAAAAACTAATTCCAAGGGCAGGTCTAATATACATGGCACGTTTCTACAGTTTAGCGGCGGCATGTGTATCCAAATGTAACAATTATGCTTAATTGAGTAACAAAAGGGTAAATATTTCAAAGTCAAAAACTAAATGTGAAAAATAATATTTATGTAAATTGTTTTTAAATGTAATATTATTGTGTAAAACAATTACTGATAAATTTCAATAATTTAAATAAATCATATATTTTAAACCTCATCCTGGTTGTGCTTAATTGTGTAGATTTAGAAAAATATCGTCATATGATTTATGGTCAACAGTATAACTTTAAAAGCGTGAAATTTTTTAATATAAATAAATATTAATCTAATCACTTGAACGCAAGATAAAGTTTATTTCAAAAACTTCATAAGAAAAATGATTATTTCTTTATACTTTTCTAAAAACTATATTTATTCAATTCGTAGCAGGTAAATACGTCATATACATACATACATATTTGATAATATATTAGAGCCTATATGGAATAGATTACATTTCATATACATATCTGTGATTTAATCGATTTTGATGATGATCGATTGTTTAAAATAAAAATGTTTGTTATTATACAATTATTGTTAAAATATAAAGTTCAAGAATTTGTTCCCGTTTTGATTTTTTTTTTTTAAATTTACTAACTTTTGATTTCACAAGACCAAATTTTGAAAATTTTATAATTGAATTAGATTTTTGTAAAATAATTTAAACAGCAAAAATTATAACAAAATTTACCTTTGATCTTCATCGCTAAGAAAATATTTGTAACCTTTCTTTTTCGCCGATTTATTTAAACGCAATGAATGGCGAAACTTTTTCGCCAATGGTTTATTGCCTTCACGATAAACTAGATTTTTAAACAATTTTGTTTGTTTGCGAAAATGTTCATATTTTTCATACAGAGTATGCCAGACGATACGTAAAACTTTAGAACCATTATTGGTTTCATTATTATTTGAATGATATTTATCGTTATCATCATATGTATGATGTAAAGCATCACTATTATTGTGGGCGTTTGATGTTAATTCTAGAGTTGATTTAAAATCACTAATTACTGTCATAATTAATTCAAATTTGTTTTAATTGTTTTTTATTTATAAAAATGTTTGAATATCTCAACTACCACCACCGCCGCTGTTGTATTCAAGTAAGGTTCACTGTGTGACTGTTAATGATTTTTAAAATTCTGTTTATAACTGGCAGCAGTGGAAAAAAATTCTATCTTTGCCAGTATTTTATTGTTTAATTTAAAGAACAAGTGATAAGACGTCGACTACTATATTACCGCCATCGTATGTAGGAAATAAATAATGAAAGGCATCTAGATTTATATATCAATGAATAAACTGTTTATACTAATGTATGTGTTTATCTAGGAAAGCAAAGAAATGTATTTAAAGATTTAGGGAGTGTATGTATGTGAATAAATAAATATATAAATAAATAATAATTGTAATAAAACCAGGTATATTATTTATTATTCAAAAGTGTATCTTAGACAACTCAGTGAAAATAAGTTAATTTTCCTTAAATCTTATCTTTGAGATTAACACTATGTTGTTAGTTATAGTCGTATTATTTACTCAGCGAAACTAGATACAAATACAGGTAACCCTCGATTTACGCGGTTTGTAGAAACCAAATAAAATGCGTTTAAATCATATACAAAATCTTATTTTGGGACTAAAAGTTGAAGCATGCTTTTCTGGGTCCTTATGAGTTTTAAGGATGATCTACCGATGTCCGTATGTAAGTCTGAAACATTGTTTCATAATTTCACATAGCCACCATACAAATAAATATAAAATGTTGTTTATATAGCAAACGTGATAAAATTCAGTCATTCAGATTCATATACACCTTAACATTATGTTGTGGAAAATATCGGATGTCAGGCCATATTAACAAATATCAGAGGTATACATCATTCATTATACGAAGTCCAGGAATGGGCTTTTAAAATTCTTTAAAAATTCTATAACCTGTAAGTTAAAGTTAATGGATTTGACAATTGGAGCATGATATTTGGATCGATATGGGTAGAAAACTAAGTAAAAAATCAAAGGCCTTGATTATTTATTATGCGTTTATTTAAATATTTTTTTCTGTGAATCAAATTTCACATAAATTGTAAATCAAATATTTTGTACTTTTTTTCAGGTCTAGAAATTTTAGGTCATTGAGATTATTTAAAAACAATATTATTATCTGTTTAAAGAATGGAAAAACATATTAAAATATTGTAAACATGTCTGAATGAAGATGTATGCATTTAAAACAGACGTAACATAAATGAACTGCATTCAAAGTTTATTGACTCTGATTCATCACAGCTATAAAATAACAATAATATAACAAACATGAACGCAAAATATGAAGAACATTAAAATAATTATCAGTCTTAATTAACGTCGTATACTATATACAAACGATCTCTTCATTCTTAATCGAATACAAGAATGCATTGTATGTTAACTCTTCCAAAGATGCAAAACTAATAACAACAATTGATTGTGAATAAAATATTTTTATAAATAATATTCACATACATTGTACACAGTTAGAACAAGATGAATAGTTAGGACGAGATAACCAAAAGAAAAGTTGCATTTTAACTTACCGGGTGGGCCCATTGGTTGACCTGATGGCATAGGTTGGCCTGGTTGAGTTACAATTGGAGCATTTGGTGCATCATATCCAGGCTGAAAACCGCCACCTCCATTATACTGCTGTGGTGGTCCTCCACCATAGGGCATTTGTTGCGGTGGTGGTGCCCCACCGTAAGCAGGTGGTTTCGCATATGGTGGTTGTGCTCCACCACCAAATGGCACTTCACCGTAAGGCATTTGAGGTACAGGTGCGTAACCTTGTGGCTGTTGTCCAGGAACAAATCCCTTTTTTTAAGAAAACATTTATTATTTATTAGTAAATGTGAATTTAGAATATGTTTTATACTTAATATAATTGTTGTAAAATAATATAATTAATTTGTTTTAAAATTTTTACTTGATGTTGTTGGCTTTAACGTTTACATGGTATTAATCATTAAAATGCTTTTAGTTCTAATATGAGTATGCGATAAAATTAAGGTGATAGTTAAACATTGATAAATTTAATTGTTATTATACAACCAACGACAAATAAATGCACTTATTACAATTTGCAAATAAAACAACAGTACAATACCGATTTATGAATCCGGAACAATAACGATTCGAGTTATTAGTTGTACTTGCCGGCCAAAATTAGATCAAATATCAATTTATAATACGAAGAATTATACAACAATTACGCAACGTTCACAATGGCAGAGAACTCCACTCTGGAGTGAATTAAAATGAAATTTAAAATACTTATTGTTGATAAAAAGAAAGAAAAATACAATTTGCTGGAGTACTTCATCACTGTGAACGTAGCTTTATAGTCAAGAATGACAGAACTTATGGTATATCTAATATACGATTTATTTTTTAATGAAGCATTTCAGTTTGTTTTTATTCGATATATTTTATTGGCATATTTATGAGCAAATACCAATTTTAGAGTCCAGTAGCATATGAGCTACAAATTTTACAAAATTATCTTCAAAATTGCGATCTGTAGTTTGATTACATGGTTAACATGGACAGACGGGCGGACATTGCTTAATCGATTCAGAAATTCATTTTGAGCCGAGTGGTATAATTAAGAACATACTTCAATATAGAGTATAAAAAATACATGAGGGCTCGTTGCTGTGACTATGTGAAATTGTTAACTAGTTTTTGTTTAAAATTTTTAAATATTGCAAAGAAAAAATAAACGATAAAAAACTTTCACATGATATCAAAATTTTATAGCATTTCTTTAACAAAAAAATTTCAAATTGGAGAAAACATAAAAAATTACATTTTTATTCTCCGGCACCGCAACGCTCACCGCTTTAAAGTTTAAAAACTAATCTTGCTTTTTCGGACATTAGATAATATAATAAACATATTCAGCATTATTAAAAATATTATAATGTTAAAATTCTTTCCAAGTTTAGAACAGTATCTCTGATTTATAAACAAAAAATTTAGATTTTTGTAAAACAGACATTTCCGTTATATTTAAAATTAAATAACATTTATCAGTTATTGCTTTAACATATACTGCTCCGTTAAAATATACGAATGCTGTTGCTGTTAAAACATATGGTATCTGCTACACTTTTATACAACTCTGTCAATTGACACTAAAAAATCAATATGGCAACATTATAAATTGTTTTTAATTTTTTCACAACCATTGCAAAAATATAAAGCAATTGCAGAAGAAAGTAGAAAATTGTATATATAAATGAAATAAAACAAATCAAATTGATATTACAAACAAATTAAATTGTTTAGAACTGCATTGTACACAAAAAAATGGAAATGGAGACTTTAGCAGATGTGGTTTTCTTGGTCGAAGGTTCGGCAGCCAACGGGGCATACATCAATGAACTGAAAACAAATTACATAGTACCAACATTGGAGCATTTCAGCCAAGGACCCATTGAAGATCGTGAATACCTAATATCGGAACGATATTCTACACAATATTGCGTGGTACTCTATCGTACCACAGCAAATTTACTTGAACCTATGTGTACGACATTCGGACCATATTCATCGCCTCAAAAAGTTATGGATTTGTTTGAGCGTCTGCCACTGACAGGCGGTGGAATGGAATCATGTGCAAATCTGGCAGAAGGTTTAGCAACAGCTCATATTTGTTTCGATGACATGAAAGAGCATCGGGCGCGTTATAACAAGGATGGAAATTTGTCAACTCAAAAACATTGTATATTAATGTGTAACAGTTCCCCGTACTCAATGCCGGTTATGGAATGTTGGAAATATACAGGAAAAACAGGTAATTTTTTAAATGGATCGATATCTTATTGCCGAAAACTAAACAAATGTACTATTCTTAGTGGAACAATTAGCGGGACTTTTCCACGAACGCAAAATAAATCTTTCTATTATTGCACCACGTAAAATACCAATATTATTTAAAATTTTTATGAAGGCTGATGGCGACCAGCCATTAACAGCTAAAAAATATGCCAAAAATATTAGGCATTTGGTATTACTAAAGGGCTACCACCTTAAAGAAAGACCACAAAGTCCAAATAGTGCAGCAGCTGCGATGGGCAACCAAGCGAACCAAGTGGTGGGTGGTCCAAATCAACAGCAACAACAACAGCAGCAGCAACAACAACAACAGCAAAAAAGTGCTCAGCAACAAAATACAGGTTTGACAATGGATAATACGCATGCTTCACCTCAACAGCAACAACTCCAACAGCAACAGGTTGCTCAAATGGGTGGTATGAATCCTAATCAGCAACCTGGTAATCCACTTAATCAACAGCTATTGCAACAGCAGCAACAACAACAGCAGCAGCAACAGCAACAATTTGGTGGACAAAACCCCATGCAAAATCCCAATTTCCAGGGACAGGGCAACCGTTGGGTATTCAATCCCAATCAGCAACAACAGCAAGCTCGACCACAATTTTTGCCAAATGCACCTGGAGGACCTATGGTTTCAATGGGTGGACCAGTAAATCAAGGTGGCATGCCTGTACAAAATTCTGCTTTAATATCCCAACTTAGCGCTCCGCCTAATCAAAACGTTAATCCCATGATGCAACAACAACAACAGATACGTATGCAGATGTTAAATCAACAGCAGCAACAGCAAATGCAACAACTTCAACAACAGCAGCAACAACAACAGCAACAGCAAAATGTTATGAATCCAAATATGTCAGGCCCTGGAGGACCAAATCCTCAACAGCAACAAGTTCCAGTTGTTGCCAACAACCAGCCGAATACTTCGATGGCAAACCAACAAAATCCTGGTCCATCTTCAGATCAAGCTGTTATGCGTGATAAAATTTGGTCGGGCACCTTGGAGTGGGTAGAGAAAAGTAAGCCTGATCAACAGAAAATACCTCGTACTCTACAATGTACTGTAACCGCCAACATCAAAGACGGAGAACCTGAAATCAAGGCTATAAACTGGCCACCTAAACTACTAATGCAGCTCATGCCTAAGCATTTGGTAGGTAATATCGGAGGACAATTTCTCAAAGACTCCAAAATGGTAGTTTTTAAACCGCAACCATGCGAAGCACTAGACGCCCTGGCCAAAAACATGACAACAATTTTTGCCGGCTGTGTACACTTTACAACTCCACCAAATATGCCGGCATGTGATATTAAAGTTTTGATTCTGTTATACACGGCTGAAAAGAATGCATTCCTAGGATTTATACCTAATAATCAATCGATGTTTGTGGAACGTTTGCGAAAAGTCATTCAGCAGAAGCAGTCAATGGGTATGCAACAAACAGCTGGTGGTGGACCTAATAGTATGCAACAACAACAACAGCAGCAACAACAACAGCAGCAGCAGCAAGGTCAGCAACAATTACAAAATCCAATGGCTGGACAAATCTCGGGTAACATGAATCCCCAACAACAGCAGCAGCAACAGGATCCTAACCAACAACAACAGCAGCATTTTAGTCAATACAATCCACAGCAACAAATGAACATGCAAATGGCCGGTGGTCCCATGAATCAGCAAATGATGGGCGGACCACCTATGTCTGGTGGACCCGACCAGATGGTTGGCAATAATCCTATGCAACAACAACAAATGACCATGATGCAGCACCAACGTATGCCCATGATGGCTGGTGGTAATCCTAATAATCCCCAGCAGCAACAAATGCCTCCTCAACAAATGCAACAACGCATGGTCCGACCCATGATGAATAATAATCCCGGTCTTAGACATTTACTCCAGCAACAATCGACACCCGGTCAACAATTTCGACCACAAATGGGTGGCGTTGGCGGTGGTCCAGGTGGTGTACCCATGGGTGGCGGCGGAATGCCTAATCCTAATCAAATGACTGGTGGTCCTGGAGGCCCAGGTGGTGGTCCAAATCGTCCATTCGACGATAATTTTGAATATATGTAAACATTTTTTTATAAAGCAATATTTGTTTTCATTTTTTAATATCTCATCATACTAAACATATTAAATATCTCTATACAATTTGAAACTTTAATAAAGTTAAAAACTTGAATCACTAAAAATATATTTTACATTCATTTCATATAACTATAGAAAATGCTAAACTGACAAAATATTGTATGCGTTCAGAGCTGTGCAAAAATGTATAGCAAATTTATGGCACTCCTAATATAACGATGTAATAGGCACACCCAAATATTATGTTATTCGATTATTATTTTTCCTCTAAGTGTAAATCCTAATGATTTACTACTTTTAGTTTACATCTTTGTTGGAAAACTCTTATTAATTCAACGACTAAACCGCTAAGAGCGGGTTTTTGAGATGGTAATCAAATGCCAATTAATAATCAGATTAGTTAATCTAAAAATAAATTTAATCTTATGTTAATCCCCTTTGATGTTTTTGAGTACAAGATTAAACTTAAACGCAGTGTTGCCATACAAAACAACAGAAAACTTCACTGTTTGTTATCAAAACAATGCATATTTTATAAAAAAGAAGACAATTGTAAATTTAATATGAAAATTAATGAAAACTTAAATTAAAAACAAAAAAATGTATTTTGAAGTGTCCATAATTTATACTAATCAATAAATAGAACATTTTAATGTTTATATTTATAAACATTTTATTAATTTTTTTGCATCAGCTGTTTACACTTTTGCATTTCGTGCTTAAGATTAAACCACCTTCATTGGTCGCTTAAACTTGCAAACAAAATTAACTAATTGAGTACTCAAAAACATCTTTCGAGGATTAATTTTAATTTAATCGCTAATCTTTCACCTAAAGATTGGCCCTAACTGTACTTAAACTTTGTTAGCTTTCATATACTTAGAAATAAGTAGTTGTTGACCTCTCGTCATTTTGAAGCCTTAAAGAGCACTTCTTGTTGTGCACAACTTCTTAAGGTAATATATTATATAAAGGAAGACAATTCTTCTCCTTTGTACAAAACTAATAATCCTTTATGTTTTATTCTTTTTTGTGTATTTTCACTGAACCTTATCGGATTGACGCCGAAACATCACTTTTTCTCAGGCGTTAAGAAAGTTTTCGCGGCAAATAGTTTTAATACAAAACAGGAAATTTTCGATATAACCTAGTTTTATTGTTTATCCGCGGTATTTACACGGAGAAAAAGCAAGGGTAGGGATTGCTGTTTATCCCTCTTCCAAATTTATTACCCACACAAGTAGTATATACTATTAAAAATCCATGTAAATTTGTTTGTGAATGGTTTTAGGAAATCGATTTGCGAGGAAGGTTTTTGCAGCAAAATGACCACAGAAAAAGGTTTTCGTTATTAGAGCACTACTGGCTACAGGGCCTAATTTTTGTTATTACCTTAATATACATACATACATACATGCATACTTAGATATAATCTAAATTTAAATTTTTCTATATAAAGAATTAAACACTCCTCATGCAATCTGATCAGAACAGTTTAAATTCCGTCGTTCTGATCCCAATTAATATTGTTTGTTATCAAGTTCTAAAATTCGGGACGGTTTTATATTCAAACTAAGGGAAGAAATTTTACTTAAATTTTGAAAACTTCAAATAATTATCAAAACTTAAGTAAAATTGCGAACGAGGGTCTAGTGTTTTCGTTTCGAAAAAAGTGGTAGCTTCTTTACATTTTCTGAAAAAAAAAATATAGAAATAATTCCACATTCAATTAGAATGCATTTCCGTTACAAGTGCGTAATCACTTAATAAATAATTTACCGCGATGGATGTTAAATAACGACAAATACATAAATAGGTATATAATTCCGTTTTAAAAATTTAATTTTTTTTTGCCCAAATTAAACTTTTAGGAACAGTTTTTTATAAAATTAAAATATAAAATGTGGTTGTTATAGACAAAGCTTGGAAAGAATGAATTTGGAATTCATTCCCTTATATTTTTAATTCGGCTTTAAAGGAATTTAACATTCTATAGGAATTAATTTATTAGAGAATTAATTCAACTATATCGAAAGCTTTATGAATTAATTCTAGGAATTAAATCAAAGGGAATGAGTTTGAAGAATTGTTAATTCTTTAAAATATAACTCAATTTCAAAAAAAGAATTAGGTAATGAATTCTTTTAGAGCTTTGGTTATAGAAAATAAAGGCAATAGCTTAAATACAAATATCTACCGTAACCAATACAAAAATCAGAATGAATTCATTTGCTTACTAGTCTAATTGTTAGACTTAGGAGCCAGTTTACAATTTTGCCAGACGAAAATCAAGTTGAATTTCCTTATACCATATAAAACTTATTTAGGAAATTTAGGATTTGATAAGCAATTATTCTTAATTACTAATAACAAATTCAACATTATTAGAAATAATATGCGTTGTAACTAAATTAAGATTAATAATAATAAAAAGTAATGTACAAAATGACGTCATATGTTTGAAAAAAGAAACAAAAAATAATTTTTTAGATATGAACATACAGTGGAGACAACAAAAATAGCACTTTTTTTAAATAAATTAAATATTTAGCTGAATTTGAACCACTTCTCGCTGCTTAACTAGGCTAAAATTTGCCAAATATAAATGACTCTTAGTAATTAGATAAATTCAGAATATTGAGCTATGTCACAGAATTCCATTCAGATAAAAAATGGAATTATTACTTAGTAAATTAATTGCTTAAAACTTTAAAAAAACATAATTTAATGTAATTGCTATCCCTCTTTGAAAAATTGAAGTGTTTTTATTCTGAAAAGGTTTTTTTCTTTTTTATAAAGAAAATTTGGAAAAATAGTTCCACTTTTGACCAGAATAGAATTATGTGATATTGTTTCCTCTAAATCGTGATTACATAAAAAAAAATTTTGTTTTCGTTGACATCAACTGTCCAAATTTTCCAATTTTAAATTTAAAAATTCATTCTTTCATTAAAAATATATTCAAAGACGATCTAATTAAGTCCCTTAAAAAAATTACAGCGACCGAAGGTTAAGATATAAGGTTTATTTCGTATTAAAATTTAGATTACCGAATAAAAATAAATCATTCATAAATATGTATCAATTTCGTGAAACAAGCACAGGTGCCTAGTAGTTACCACCTACATAAATATAAGGTCTTTTCATTAAGATGATTTTATGAATTTGAACATTTTTCGTTTTAACGATCGTACTAAATGTATTAGATATTCGGGTTTGTGATGGAAATGGAAAGATTTAAAAGAGTGTGATAATTTTTTATGATGCAAATTAATATTATCCAACATTTTTTATTTAGAATAAAAGCAAAGAAAGTATAGTGGTCCCTAAACTGCCGCTATATTTTCCAACCACATAATACGTTTAGCGAATCATCGTATTTGTTGTCTACATATCCAAACAATGAAATATTCGTAGGTATTTTTTTTTTTAATTTCAACAATTTGGCATATATGTAGTCAGTATATAATATAAACATTTTGGTAAAAACACACATTCAAATAGAACTTTTAGGGGCGTTTTGCAAAACTGTATCTTTTTAAAGAAAAATAATAAAAATTTGTGCATAAGTAGGTACTCACGTAATTGCCTGGTGGCGGTGCGCTTGGATTATAATTTCCTGGAGCAGCATTAGGCGCATAGCCGGGAGGAACGTAGCCTCCTTGATTTACATTATTCATTGGCATTGACATTTTTCTGTTGAATGTCTAAAGGTCTAGACTGGTTATTGAAAATCTTTTTAAAATTGACAAATTATCTGCAACAAAACGGAATATAAAAAAGTCTATATTAATCATAACTGCAATTGTTTTGTTTTCATTCAATATTGAAACTGCATAATATAAAAAGTAAATAAATGAAAAACTACGTCATTGATTGTTATTGTTATTCACCCAACGTTCATACATATTTATTTGTTTTATTCACACAACATAAACGGTGAAAGTTAACACAAGCAAAAACAAATTTTTCTCCACTGATGTCATCTTTACTTACTTTTTCCCGATTCTTATGATGCGAACACGTTTAATTTGCTTCTATATTATTTAAATATAATAATTTATGCCTTTTAAGGAAAGTGTTATTATTTTTGTTTTAGAACCACTAATGTAAAAGAAACATTCTTTATTTAATTTTACTGTTGACGCAACTGTTAGATGTTAACATTAAAAAAATAATGTTAGAAACCTCGTTGTTGTTGTATTCTTCCAATAAGAATTTAAAAACAGCTGTTTTCGTTAAGTGTATATGTAGCCAGATTGTAAAATATTTAAATAAATAAAATATCGAAATAAGATGTGTTTTACAGAACGGACGCCAGTGTGCGACACCACTTTGCGATACTAGTTTGTTTTGCAAAGGGGGTGAGCAAGAGGAAAAGACAAGACAAGTTGAAACAAGTCATTAAGTGGGAAAAGTCAAAAATCATCGAGAAGTCGATATAAGCAAATAATTAAAATCTATTTTTTTTGTTACAACTCAATTCAATAATGCTTCTATTTTTATTGGAAACTTTTTTCATTTGTTAAAAAATGACACGAAATAACACCCAATGAAATAATACCCAATTATGAAATGAAATTACTCCCAACGAAATGTCCAAATAAGTTGGACATTTTGGCCATATAGGGTTTTATTCAAATGAGTGTAACTTTTCACTTTTGGTCCTAGCAAAAATTGTCCGAAGAAGTTTAGCGACCCAGCAGTTCGGCGGGAGAGTAACCACTAACCACTTAACGTGCCAATTATGGTGGCCCCTATCCACCCGACAACCCAGGTGATTAAACACTTTAACATAGGCTTGTCCTACGAGGAAGTCAATCGTTACTCTATAGCCTACAATGAGACTATCAAGAGCTATCAATAGCAGGGTACGAAAATAAACTAAACAAAACGTTTGCAATTGTTTCGGTTTGAACTTTGCTGTGAGTAAAACAAGAAGAAAACCAAAACAACAAAAACGATTTTCTCAGTTGGTTTTGTATTGTTTTTGCTTTTGAGCACATCATGTTCATTAACTCAAATGTACGCAGCTAGAAAAGAACAATGGGAGCAAAACTGAAAGTTTTCGAGCGAAACATTTTCGCAAACGTTTCCTGATGGTTTTGCTCATTGTATGTTTTTGTAGATGCCTATGACAATCATCAACAATACTTAAATCTTGTTTTCTCGAAAAAATAACACTGAATAAAAGAAGATTTTTCTTTTGGCCACTTACCAGTTTGTAAGAATTTTATAAGATCTTGGAGATTCGAATCCTTTTTAGTTGCAGCACAAACCATGTTGAATGTTACCGGCAAAGCGTTTGTGATATCGTTAATTACCTTTTTGATGTCATCTGATGTCCATTTCAATACAAGCGATGATAGTGTCTTCGTTTGATTTTGGTACATTGGCAATTAGACGAGATAAAATATCACCTGCTCCGAATTCATGAGTTGAAATGTATTGCAAAGTAAAATCGTATGACGTGAGTGCATGAGCCCATCGCTTGGCTTTTTTATTTCCAAAAATTGAAAGCAGAGGCTTGTGATCTGTTTGAAGAATAAATTTTCTACCAAATAAATATTTATGGAATTTAACTACAGCGAAAACCAGCGCCAATCCTTCCTTTACAATTTGAGAGTAATTTTTCTCAGCTGGAGTGAGGGACCTTGACGCATGATAAATTGTTTTTTCGCTGCCATCAGGAAAAACATGACAGATATATGCACGATGAGTGTTAATAGTAGTTTTTTCGTGTCATCATCGACTTCTATTTACATGTAGGCATGATATACATACATATGTAAATCAATTATTGAAAATATTGAACAGTTGTTAAAATTTATAAAAATTTCATCTGGAAGAGGTAGTGGAAATGTGTGAGGTTCTAGCTGATAATTTAGTCCAGTGGAGTAATCCCCACAAATACGTAGATCACCAGAAGCCTTTTTCACCACCACAATGGGTGCAGCACATTCAGAAAAATTTATTTGGGAAATGATACCTTCACGTTCATTTTTTTTAATTTAACTGTCTAGTTGCTTTTTAGACGTAAAACAGGTTTGTGGTTTAAGTTGTCGGTGAGCTTTAAAATGAGGGCAGTGTCCAATTTCATTCCAAAAACCCACTTACATTACTTGCCGTTGATCCTTGTGTAGCCATAATCAGCGTTTCCATTAGTTGGTGTTGTTTTTCCATAGCGTCTTGTTGATGCGCCAGGAGTTGTCCAACCACTTGTTCCGAAGAAGTCATTGTGTTTAATTATTTCACTCACAACAAAAAAATCGTGTTTTATTTCGCAATGTTGTTGCAATTTTTTTATTTTTAAAATCCTCGTGATTATCAGGTGGTAGATTTAATCTTTAAATAAATCTTAAATAATCTTTATTTAAAAACAATAATTAATAATAAAATAAATAGGGTACACTAACCAGGTATATGTATCACTACAACAATACAAAAACAACATGTATTTTGTTTTTGTACTTGTATGAGCTCAATGTCAAAATAAATAAAAATATTTTTTGATGTTTTTCTTTAAAAAAATATTAATTTTATTAAAAAAATATGCAGTGTTTTTAAATGGAATGTTAAGGCATATACAGTGTCTCTCATAAGTATTCGAATTTAGGTGAACTATGAAAAGAAACCAAATTTAATAATATATTTTGTGTGCAAAAAAAATAAATTAATTTGTTATATTGTCAAGACATTCCTTAGGTTTGATATCACGCTTTTTAAAACTTGAAAAATTTACATTTACATAAATTAAATTAGCTTTTTTTTAAAAAAGTCCATAAAATTGCCTCACAAAAGTATACGAATTTTTCCTGTATTTCATATTTGATCATATTATACGAAACACAAATTTTAGAATCGAATGGTTTTTATGCTTTAAATTGTTTTAAAGGGTTACTATCAACCGAAATGATATATTTTTGGCCCATTTGGTCCAAAATTTTTGGGGATTTGTACCCTCTTTTTATGTAATATCATTAAAATGGCGATTTTTTGGCAATATTTGTAGTATTTTCTCTTTTTTCCAGAGATAAAACCAAAATTTGATATTGGGATTTAATAGAACCCTTGGAGTATCTAAAAAGAGTATTTTTTGTTACAATAATCTGTATTTAAACGATCCAAGATTTATTATTGATATCATTATTCTGTCGCTAATTCAATATATTGGAACTTAAGTCCATTTTCATAATACTAGGGTCAAAAATTTTCGGGAAAGTTTTCTTGTATATATTCTTTTAGATATCAGCTTTTATATATTTTAAGTTTTCAATGTATTGTGGAAGTGTACAACTCCAAAACATGCCTCGAAGAAACACCATTCAATATGGTAGTATCATTATTTTTATGCACCAATGACCTCCAGGCTGCATGCCACTATATAATTATGGTCTAACTCAAAAATATCGATACCTGTTTAAATATTGATTACTATGATTAAAATAAACCCAAAATTTTGGACTTACAGTGTTATTGTAATGGGCAACATAAGCGTGAAAGTTACGAATAGTAAAAACTGAAATCTACTGTATAGGATGACGTTTTGTAAAGGCATGTTTTGGAATTGTATACCGATATAATGTATTGAAAATTTTAAATATATTAGTGCTAATATGTACATGAATGTATACTAGCCAACTTTGTCGGAAAATATCGACCCTAGTGGTACGAAAAGGGACTTAAGATCCATACAATTTAATTAGAAACAGAAGAATGATACCAAAAATACATCTTGGAACTTTTAAGTACAGATCCTTATAACAAAAATTATTATTTTTAGATACCTTATTTCTGCAAAAAAAGGAAAAAAAATTGCAAATATGGTCAAAAATCGCCATTTTAATGATATTACATGAAAAGATGGTACAAATGCTCCAAAATTGTGGAACAAATGGACCCAAAATATATAATTTCGGTTGATAGTAACCCCTTAATACAATTTTAAGCAAGAAACCACTCGATTATAATTTTTGTGTTTCGTATAATATGGTCATATATGAAATACAGGAAAAATTCGAATACTTTTGTGAGGCAATTTTATGGACTTTTTTTAAAAAAGTTAAATCAATTGAGGTAAATGTAATTTTTCCAAATTTTAAAGAGTGTGATATTATACCTTAGGACTCTCTAGACAATATAACAAATTTAATTATTCATTTCACACACAAAAAATATTATTAAATTATGTTTCTTTTCAAAGTACAACCAAATTCGAATACTTATGTGAGACACTGTATGTATGTTTATATATGTACATATTTTAAGGTATATGGATCCTATTGGTAAATGTTACAGAGGACCTGGCAATATACCCAAAAAAGCGAGATTTTAGCTACCAAAGTTTGGCTAATGAAGCAATACTTAAGATTGTTGATATCTGAATTGGCCTGATTTGTGCCAATAAAGTTGTGATGTGGCTACCAAAGTTTGGCTAACGACAACGGCCTTGGCAACGTGCGCATTACGGGGGATAGTTGATATCTGGAATGACCTGATTTGTGCCATTAAAGTTCTGTTCTAAACGGATAAAGTTTGGCTAGAGACAGCGGACCTAAGAAAGGGCGCAATGCGGAAGATGGTTGAAATGTATTTTTTGTGCAAACAATATTATTTTTTTACAAACTAAACATGTTTAATTATTTTATTATTCAAATTTTATTTAAACAAAAATTTTATATAAACAAAAACAAATTTTGAGAGAAAAGGTATGCAAATACGAAAACAAAAAAATTATCAGCTATTCGATTGCATATACCTGTTTAGTGTACACAGGTACAAAGAACATTGTTGTTCTTATTTGGGGTTGCCAACAAAAAGGTACTTTTTGAATTGTCTATAGTATTGATCCTAGAAACATGAAATTAAGAATGTAGGGCCCGGAGTAAGTGATAGCATATAAAAGGAGATTTTTGGTACTTTTTCGTTTTTCGAAAGGTACTTTTTGAATTTTCTATAATATTGAACCTAGAAACATGAAATTAAGTATGTAGGGGCTGGAGTAAGTGAGAACCTATAAAAGGGGTGCTTTTTCATTCTTCAAAAGGTACTTTTTGCATTTTCTACAATATTGAACCTAGAAACATGATATTAAGCATGTAGAGCCCAATAAATGGGACTTTTTGGTACTTTTTCGTTCTTCAAAAGGTATTTTTGAATTTTTTATATTATTGAACTTAGAAATATGAAATTAAGCATGTACATTAGGGTGGGTCGAAAAAAAAGTTGAGTCAGTCACCCCCTACGATTAA